TATATAAATAAATAAAAAGGGTTTAGTAGAAGAAAATCCATGGCGTTACAAACCTCAAAATGTAAATCTGAGCTTCAAGACATTGATTGAAGCCACTGAAATATGGATAGAAACTGACTTGATCTGCATGAAACAAGAATACTTTTACGGTATACTAGAAAACAAACTGAAAGTGAGAAGCAACCACCTCTTAGCCCTGCTCCTGAACACCAACCAAAGACCTTCTTTTCACACACATGCATGCAAAGTCACGACGTACACTTGCTATGTAAAAATGTGAAACCTGTGTGTTGTCAATTGATACCTTACTAGTGACGCTGTCCCATGCAGATGAAGTCTAAAATCAGATGCTGTACACTGTACTAAACACACAGCCACATACATTGAACAAATTTAGCCCATGACAATTTCCGATCCGATTCAAAAGTTCTTCTCTTCTTTGCTCTTCTCTGCTCTCAGAGAACTGTGTCAAATGCTAATTATAGAAATTTGAGTCTAGCTGGGGTGAAGGTGGAAAAGAGGAAAGGGGAAAGGGGCGGGGAGGAAAAGGGTGTATTGTTTTAAGCCCCATTTAGACGTACAGTTCGCTGATCGACAAACAGTTGAAACAGACGAGACGCTGATAGTTCGCAGGAAGTACGAAAGGGGCAGTGTGCTCAGCCAGGTGTGGCCCAGACCCTGACAGCCGAACGGGACCCTTCCCACTCCTCTCTAAAATTCCCTCTATAACATTAATGGGCGGAACAAAGGATCGCTGGTCCAGGGTCCAAGCCAAGTAAGGTAACTCTGGGAAGTAGGTGACGAAGAGAACACAGAACAGAACCATGGATGGCTTAAAACACAATAGAAATAATTATGCTAACAATAGAAGTACAAGCAGTAATAAAGGACAGGTCGATGTATTACTACTGTAGACGTGTCCTTCCTTTGTAAGTAACAGAGAAGCCAATCGGCAATTAGAAGCCGTCTTTTTAGCTCTATGGGCAAAAGCTGAATTCGCCCAGAGGCTGACGTCACTGCTGCGCGGGCGATGTTCGGAAAGGCCTCGCGCAGATAAGTTTCACATTGTGACAGGGGTGATTTACATATGAGCCGGTGAGATAAACAAAGATGAAGGAACGAGTCTCTGTAGTGCGACATCACAGCTAAGAACCACTATTGTCTCTCAGAGCCCATTCAAAACGGCCAAGATCTTTTTGAATGTTGATTAGATATATTCATGTGTATTTACTTGAAAGTAAAGAAAAAGTATCGTCAGCAATCAATCTCTTGTCCACTGTACAGCCAACAAAAAGTGACTGGCGCCACCGGTCCTGCCCAGTGAAAGAACCGCGTCTGATAATATGTCTGAGCTGAGAATTCAATAAAAGGGAAACAAACGTTCAAGTAAAAAATAGTTAATAGTTTAAATTGAGCTAACGTCAATGAACTACCAACAAATCAGACAAAGAAAAATGCTAAAAAGCAGAAAAAAAGACAATTTCCATGTGTTCTTCTTATTCTGACAGGATGACTTTCCATGCCTTGAGGTATGGGGATTAGTTCTGTGCCTGCAATATCAACCTGCCCCTGTTTACTTTATAATATCCAAAACTGTTCACTAAATATACCTCTAATTTCTGAGGGGATTTTTAAAAGAAAATTGGGGCAATTCTGTTGGTGAACAGGAAACTGACTATAATATCGTTTACTATCTCTTGGTCTAGACTGTGTTTGCCTCTCAGTCAAATGGTTCCTAGATTTTGAATCTTGCCAGAATTGCAAAAATTTTAATCACTAAAAATGTTCTTTCATGAAGTCCTCCTTTCCTGCTTTCTAGTTATCTATTGTTATCCTAGAGTCTCTGATAATATCACTATGTGTTAGTTTTACTTCAATCCATTGCCACCAGTGCTTGCATTTCATGGGACTACAGTTGGTGGACCAAATAAAAACAGAGGAACCTTTATTCTTTGCTGGCCATTCAATCAAGGCGGCATGCAGTGGTCAAATCAATTTCACAGCTCAGTTCAACTTAGAGTTTTAGGTGTATCCTTGTACTTGTGGTAGATTTTAATTATTATATAAATACAATCAAAGCAAGCATTTCTGCTCTTGAGACTCCAAATAGAACGGACACAGTAGGTTAAATTGTCTGGTTATTTTACTAGACGCTCTGAAGTCGGCAAAACTAAATTGTGAATTTTTTTTGACAAGTGTGAATGGAAAAAAAAAATCAATATTTAAAAAAAGGCTGGAGAAAAACTGTCGAACTTTTCAAACAAACTGAATCAGGACTGAGCAGGCAAAGCATTTTTTTCATCTTTGACAAGCCAAAGCCATCCAAAGGAAAGAAATTCCTCTAAGTTCTGTTTCTGGGTTGAGCAAGTTTCCATCTTAGACAGAGGTAGAGGAATTTATCAAAGGAGGGGCAGGGGGATCATAATGGACAGGTCTACATCATGGACAGGTTTCTGTTGAGTAGATGCTGAGGCAGGTTCGACTGGATTCTATTGGCCTATAATATTACTAAAACCTGACCCTAGACCTGAACAGAGTACAATACGCCACACCTTAGTAGAGACAATGTTAAAGTTCAGTGTTAAAATGTGAGCAGCAGTAAATTATTTGACTGTGGCTATGCGTACAGCCCTCCAGTACGATAGCCTCATAGCTATGCTCACGGCCTTGATAATCGTCCAGCTGGACCATGTCACTTTATTGATCGATATCTTGGCCAAGACAAAGATCACGTTAACAAGATAGTTCACCCCTCTATAATCGACCCAATCAAAAAAGTGCCCTCAATATCTGGTGGCGTCCTCTTCGAAAAAGTGCGGACTTTGCGATCAAGTTAACCTACTAGTGTGAAAATATATTTTAATAAAAGTGAAACTACCAAACTGTGCTATTCCCATTCTTCTTCTGGTGAAACGAAAGAGAGCTTCAAAACAAAGATTGCAGCGTCATCTGAACCAATGTGCGGACTTCCGTTGACACCTTTTTGGCGGAGTGAACTATTTTGTTTTATGTACGATCTTTGGCCAAGAGACGCTCTATGAGGTCAAGATAACTTGCAACGTCATTGGTCACTAGATTATTTATAACTTTGACCTGTAATTTACTACGTAATTTTCCATACAAGGAATGCTGAAATTTTCCATTGAAAATGGTCAGCGTCTATGCCCTTTATAGCTGCACACTTCCCAATAAAAAAAGTAGGTCATCTATCTTGCGCACTTCCCAGGTAGCCTGGCTCACGCCCTTTATAAAGGGCCTGCGCGCTTCAAGGGTTTTAAAAGTCTGTGTATACTTGTAGTGTCCTGTTTGATAGTTTATGTGCCGCCTACAAAGCCTAGCTTATTATGTGAAGTGGAGGGCCATACACATAGCCTCGATGCTATGCGTATGGGAGGGCAGTAAGCAGCGACTTCGAAATTATTTTTGATCATGATGTATCTATAGGCCTACCAATGTCAGTTTTGTCATTGACTCGATCTCATCAATTTAAATTTAAAGACTTACATCTAGATAGGGTATTTTTATAGTATCCCTCCCGTTTCGCATATTTCCCATTTTGTTTTTTACTGACATATTTTGGGCCGATAAAGACGATTATCTATTATCTATTTGTGGGGGCCGAATTTTGCTATTCAAAAGGCTTTTTAATGGCTGCATCGATCGACATGCGGTTTTCGCCAAAAAAATTCTTTAAAATATTTTCCAGAGCATGGCGCCCTTGGTTTTTTCAGTTTTGAGTCAGTTTTGCTGCAAAAAGCAAAATTTCTTTATTTCGCCGATTGCTTTTGTAGGCCGACGCTTCTGTCTCTGTAATTTTAGAAATTCCGGAAGTGATATTTCGCGAGACGCATTTTGTTTTGAGAGTATAGATCTAGACCTTATAATTTTTTGCATCTCTCAAGAATTATAGCCCCATTCCAGTAGAGTGTATAAAGTAGGCTAATGACTTTTAGTTGATAAATGCATCCATCATTCCTTTTATCGAAAGGGGGCCCAGCTAGTGTTATTTAAATTTGTAGTAAATTGTTAGTTTTCAAGTTATTTACGTTTAAATACCGACCTCTTTCATGTATCATTCCGTATATTTTGTCGCGTCATTTTGCCGTGGTTACGCATACGCATGCTGTGTGCCGCTATTACGCGTGCCCATGTCGTGTTTCCGTACGCTCCCGCCATTGATTTTGGATGAGAATTCAGTGCTAGTTGCAGAAGTTGACATGGACACATGCAATTCCTGCGACTTGAACGTTTACAAGACCATCACGACATTTTACCAAAGCGACGAGAGTGCTATAGCTTTTCTTCGAGATCACAGTGTTCTAGCGAAAGAAGTTGTGTGTCCTAGGAGCCAGCATCAGTGCACTTACGGAGACAGACCACATTTGGAGGTGCAGGGCAAGTTTCGTCATTTCCAAGACCAAGAAGAGGAGATACTGCAACTTCAGTGTTTCTGATTACAAGGGAACTTTTCTATCTTCTTGTCACTTCGCTCCCTGGAATCTTCTTGTTAATCATTTCTTAAGCCGT